CTGTCTATTGAGGTAGATTGCACTATTTGATGAGCAGGACTATTCAATTTTCGACTAACTAAACTTGAAAAAATGTCATGCCGTCACTATAATTCATTTGCCTATTATTTTTGTATAAGTTATTTACGTTTCTGTTATCTTGTCGTCGTATCATCACAGCCGCCAGTCTCTGCAACAGACGACACTCAACAAATGACATACAACACAGATATTTCGGCGATGCGGTGCGATTAAGAGAATAAATGTCTATTCTTAATGCGTGTTGTTTTGTTGTTTGTTTATAGATAAGTATTGTGTAAATACATATACCGTATGTCCGTTTTAAATATTGTCAAGTTATGAACGTTGATCTAAATATTTTACAGCGTTGCTGACGTTTCATCATTTATTTGTTGATGCAGATTTTGATATTTCTTGGCTGCAACGAGCCTGTTCTAATAGAATTTAAACCTTTCTTAACATTTTGGACATCCGCACATCTCGACTTTACTAATTTTATGTTTCGGTAATACCTTAGTGGTGTTCTATCCATTTTCCATTATTTGCCATAATTCTAAGAGGTATTCTATTTTAAGTCTTTGAGTCATTTTAAGTCTTTAATTATGTTTCAAACGTATCTTATTTGCATGGTTACTGTGTGAGAACAAATGTACCAGATTACATATAAGTGCCGAATTAAACAGACAAAACTTAAAGATACTAGTGAAGTATTATAATGATTTTGCTTATACTAATGATAACGATAATAATAATATTAGTAATAATAATAATATAATAATAATGATGATAACAATAAAATAATAATATTAATAATAATAGCAATGATATTTAACGAGGTGAGACGTACCACCGTCTAATTCCGTATCGAATTAATTCAAAATGCGCAGTCAATTGTATTCTAATCACTTGGCCAGCGGCGGATGTTTTTCTTAGAAGAGACATTACTGGCAACCGACAATGGAGGTTCCCGACGAAAGAAGAATCTTTCGACGAAAACAATATAAATACGAAGAAGCTACGGAATTCCTGACGCCCAGTAACTTTCTTAGCGGGTACTTCACTATTCCTGTCGATGTGCAGTAATGTAGTATATTGTTGTGTACTTCCATATGATAGAGAAGAACCTGGACTGCATCGAAATGGATCATCCGTAAGGGCCTCCCTCAATAATCTCAATACATATCTGAAAAGTTGGCTCATTGAAGAGCCAAAAAATTACAATGAAAACCTATTAATCAATTTTATTTTACGCGAACATGCATTTGCAATTTGGTTAGTCATAACCTCGAACTGAACACATGGGATAAATTCAATTAATGCAGGCTAACTTCGTTAGATTTTAGGCCCCGACGCATTTCTCGCAAGGTGAGGTTCTAGTGCACTTGCAATCGTACACTTACTTCAGATATCAGACCGCTTAAAAAATCTAAATTGTATCTTCTAAAAAATTTCATTATTAAGGAAGTTAATGGTAAATATTCTAAATATCGGTAAATATTCTGCAACAACATTTCAGGAAGATAAGGTCGCATGGAGAGCGACTTGTACTACTGCTAACGCCCCAGAAAGTCGGTCAATAAATCAGTCATACATGCTTAGCATTTATTGATATAAATAGTAGTAGTAAGATTGATCTAATTGAAACTTGATTGCGCAGAATATTTTTTCATGTTAATCTACAGATGTGCAGCATGACTAATTCAACAATCGCAAATTGCAGAATCCCATAGATTTTTCTCTCCACTATTCGACCTCGTCGCACTTTTCTACTCCTCCTTCGAAGGAGTTTGCTATGAATTAAGTTACAGAATATCTACCTATTATTTTTCTCTGGAAAAAGGGCAATATTCTTATCCATTACACTCTAAGACCCACATTACTTTATGGTAATGTGGGTCTTCATTATATTTACCATAATATTTATGGTAATGTGGGTCTTCATTATATCCAGTTTATATTATAATCTGATACATTTTTACTCACACACAAACCCACATAAGATACGTTTGAAACATAATTCCAAAGACTTGAATGGAAATACCTCTGAAGTTTGTGGAAAAATAGCAAACGGATAGAACGCTCCTGTGGTATTGCCGGATGATTAAAAGTAGTGCAATCGAGATGTGAAGAGGCTAAAACCACAAATCTTATTTAAAATTCTATTAAAACATGTTCTTTATGGTCAAGAAATATCAAAATTTGAATCAACAGACGTGATGAAACATCATCAATACTCCATATTAGTTAAGGCAGTGTTGGCAACTTAATAATATTGAATCCGGGCTTGCATATCCGAAATACTCTTTTATAATCAAAAAACATCCAATTTACATAAATTTTTTCACGTCTGCCGCAGCACTTTTTCCCTAACGAGCATAACCGCATCGAGGAAATATCTGCTTTGATGTCCGTTGAGTTTCGTCTGTTGCTGAGACCGGCGGCTGTTATGATGCGACAAGATAAAAGAAACGTTAATAACTACCCCAAAAATATTAGGACAACGAATAAAATTTATGCCATTATATAAAGTATAATGAACCTATTGTAATATACTTAAACATTGGTAAGGTATATCATAGATTTGATTAAAAGATCAGCTGCGAATTACCGTCGCGTTGACGTATGGAAAAGCTCGGTCCAAAAAGCACATTGATTCTATGCCCAGTGACGATATAACCGTCGTTCCAGTTTATTTAGTCTAAAAATGAATAGATCTTCTTACGAATTAGTCTTGTATACCTCAATAGACAGGACTTAAGGCTTTTTGCATTATTAATAGTATTATCACCACATTTAGATATGATGAAAACGTTTCATTCCGCAACTTAAGTTAAGAGAGTCCATTGGAATGGCGTTCTCAGACAGAACAATGAAGACAATAGCAATGAATATGGGAGGGAATAATTAATATTCGTATTTGGGATGTATTTGAATTCTTTTAACCTGGAAAATTTACTATTTGTATACCAACTTGCTGTTTTACTAAGTTGCCTCACACATTCGTAGATTTTCATGCGGGAATAGTGGAGCGATTAATATAATAAATTAGTTATCGCTCAAATTGTTTTCAAATGCTGATAGAAAACAAGAAATTCTGCCATAAACTGTTTCAATTTTCTTCCACGCGAAGTCCCATGATGTGAATTCCTGAGAATTTTGACCATGATGCAGACTAGCAGTAAGTGCAAGGTTTACTGTAATCAATGTTCAAACTGCTTGATAAAAAATTATCTGTCAAAAATGCTTAACTGGTATTAAATATTGTGATTGAGCTAAAAAATTTGAAACTTGACCAAAATAGATGAATTTGAGGATTTGCATGAAAGTTTCAACTTTTCTCACCTTATGTCAGATTGATGCAGACATGTGTGTAATATAAATTATTTCTAAGATATGACTGATCAATGCAACGAGAGTCGCCACGACACTAATGTTGTCACTTGTCAGTCTTCTGACTCCAGTAGGCACTATCAAATTACAAACAAAACTGAGCCACATTCTAGCAAGTTAAGAACAAAATCTTAATTATTATTTGTTAATATTATCAAATAAAAAGTTTTGAACAGTATTATATAGTTGTTAATGAGGAGTGGTGGCCTGTGTGTCACTGTCGGTAAGTAGCCGCTCGAGCCGCACAGCGCTTGCCCCACGCGTATACTGTTTATAATACAAGCAGATGTTTTTACATGGCGAGTGACCGATCGATGTGGAAAAAATTGTAGATTAAATCATACATATGAGATCATAAGATGTCGTATCTCTAATCCAATCCAGGATGTGAAATTACGAATCAATTTCACAGTTAATCCACCAGAAAAGCTCAAGCATCAGAGTCTAACAACATCGTTCACGTCGTACGTGGTGAAGGCTAACATCGCAATACGAACGCATTGCGATAAGCTCAAAGCTCATGTGAGAAAATTAAAAATAAAGCTTGGCAAATTTACGATGCAAGTCGCGAACGTAATATAAATTGGTAAAAAACTCACACCTATATTAAGTGAAACCTGCTTATAAACAAAAGATCACACTTTAATTCAAGATACTTTGAAGATGAAAGAACGTCACTACCGAATTCTTACCGTAATTTTACCTCATACCTTTAGGCTACAGCTGTAACTTTAACCCTCTACAGCCTGACACGATTAACCGGAGCAATATTGTCCCGCGCCTACTTCCCAAAAAGGATACGTACGTTCTAGTGAGCGCAAAATGACTTGCACTGATGGTTGCCACCACGTACGACATTAAAATGTTCTCTGTTGCGTACAAACCTCCTCAGGTTGCCAAACTCAATAGTTTACGTATAATTCAAGTTGAAAGTTATGCTCCCGGAGAGTGACATACGGCGGTAGAGGGTTAACTTTAAAGTTATGTTCCCGGAGAGTGACATACGGCGGTAGAGGGTTAACTTTAAAGTTATGTTCCCGAAGAGTGACATACGGCGGTATATAGCGGGTTAAGAATGCCTGTCAGGGCTTAGATCATTGGTTTGTCGTCGCATGAGATAAGACCTGCGCCGACAGGAGACAAAAGCTTGCCTACGAAAGCTCGCAGCAAAGCATATTCAAGATACAATTTTACGTGGTGGCCACTCTAATGGGTGGCAAGGAACCGCTGCACGCAAACAAGTTTTTAGAGTTCAGATGGAGAATTTTCAGCTCCGACTTCCGATCGAGCAGCGCGGCAGTCAGGAATCAGGATTGCCAACATTCCTGAGGCTGACTACAACAGCGTGAGGCTGTGAGCTGCATGAAAAACACTAAATTGCTGCTATTTCGGTCACGGTTACGACTTAGTCCGACGTATTCAGTTTTTTCATAGGAGAGTAATCGACAAATTACTTGACTTAGGGTCATCCTGACTTAGTTTGTCCAGCAACTTGGCTCAACACTGTAAAAAAGGTCACCATAGGAATAAAACCAATTCATTTTCCTGAGAGATAATGTTCCGTGAACTGCATCGAACATTCAGACGGAAGGAAAATAAAAACTCCGGGACACGAAACATTTCCGGTGTATTGCAAAGCTCTAATAAATCCAAGACTACAAATCACGCAAGTTCTTGCCAAATTCACAAACGCTTCACCACTTCCATCATTAACAGATGTCCTATCATCACAAACGCTTCACCACTTCCATCACTAAACAATGTCCTCACCACCGCAAGTCTGCGGCTCAACTCAAGGCGCCGCGGGCAACAAAACAAAGCCCGCGTCAGGTTACGTGGGCCTGCACCAAAGAATAACCGAACACGATACAAGAAATTAAAAAATAAAAATAAAACGGGACTTCCACTTAAACGAACAAACAATATAGGTACCTTCATCAAGAAAAGTTCGGCTTCAACGTCGTGCCTTAAAAAGGCCTAAACCAAACACAGAGCTACAAACAACACTACTAGCTAGAAGAATAACTAAATGGTCGTGATTCAACCAAGGATATTCCGCTCATTAACTAAACTAAAAAATACCAACGCAATGATTTCCATTGAGGAACAAAGCTGTATTAGTCTACAGGTATTGGGCACGTAAAGCTTCAACGCGGCGTCGTTCACACCACCGACGCTAACTTATTCCTGCCAACTCATCTCCATAGCAGAAAATGTCCCGCTGGGAAGACCAGGGACGACAGCCACGTGTCTAGACTAGAAAATAAGTTGAAATATAAGCATCCTTATTATGGGTACACGTCAAAATTCCGAACACTTTTTCGACTGAACTGAGAGAACTGTAAACCATTTGGTGCGTTTGTTTGCCGGTTAAGTTGTAAATTCTTGGAAGTATCCAATGATGATGCTGATGGTTGACAACTCCCAACATTCAATCGCAGTTTCATTAGACGTCATGATCTCGGAGTGTGGCTCGCAGTATATTGCCATATTGGTAAAATCTGCTGCCATCTTCATCAACAACCGACGAGCGCCAGCCTCAGAAAGACTGTCCCTCGGCAGCACCAGGTTCAAATACCTGCAATGAGATAACATTTCATTACTAATTCATAATTCAAGTCGCGATAAGCCGATCGATCTCGACCAATAAGCACTACCAAAATCTCCACTCTTGACTGAGGCTGTAGGTTCTTTTCACAGAAGGCCTCATGAAGTAGCAATGCCTTGCTGGCTCCTCTAATTTCTGGGTCTGTCTTTCAGTGCATGCTTCTTAAATATTCCTATATGTCTGGCCTTTCTACTGTCCTGTACATTTATGAGATACGGTATGTATAAATAGCCATGCTAGCTAGAAACTCCTATTACCTGAACTGAACCTGATATGAGACAAAAATGATTCATTATCTTATTACTCAACCTTAAATGTCACAAATTTAGTTAATTAGTATTTTATTGTAATAGCAGATTTGAGATCACTTCAGAGGTGAGAATCCTGCTGGGCCTTGCTATGTACTGGAATCAAGGAAATAGTTGATGCCGGTGTTGAAATACTTACTTGAGCGGAAAATAGACGGGGGACAGAATGGCGAAGAACCAGTCCAAGTCGCTGTCTTTCAAGTCAGGGAAGTGCCACTGGCACGGCATCCAGCTAATACCGCGCAAGTATACACCAGTGTTGTACGGGACTCCTCTCACGAAGCAAACATCGCCTGATGGACAAATTTAAATTAATTAATAAACATATAATAAATGTGTGACTATATGAGCGTATAAATTAAATTTAAACGTATTTAGGGCAGAGCGGCCTAATGGTTGCAGTTCAGAGTACCAAGATTGAACCAGTGAGTTGTGGGTTCAATCCAAGTTACGGGTGACAGTTCTTGTCAAATCGGTGAGATGGCTGGACGGTTAAGCAACGCTAAATTAGATCAGTGAGTTGCATGTTCAAGACCTGCAACAAGCTGTGAATATTCTGCAATGTTAGGAATCAGCAACAGGCCTAGCGGCCCAGTCAACGCAGACACTGCTGTTCTTATTATGACATGGTAATTAATTTATTGAATAATCCATTGTGCCACCACAGCTGGGTTCCCAGTACTCACGAGTCTCTGGATTGTTACCATGCTGAAATCAATACAAGAAATCAAGAATAATGACTTAAATACTCACCAAAACATTTCAAATCTCTCAATAAATAAATTTTGAAAAGAGGCCAAAATTCAGGAAAACAGGAGAAAATTGACATCAAGACTAGAAATTGAATCAAATTACTTTTTGTTTCTGAAATAGCTTTGCCCTCTTTACAATAAAGAAGTTCAATTGATTTTATTTACCCACAGCTGGTGGAAAGTTATAATATGAAAGAAAAATACAACATAATTTAACAAGTTTTCCGGGCATTTTCAAATGCCATTTCACTTTTTTACAGGATTACATAAAAAATTTAAAACAGAAATAGATGTCACCCTATTATTGGTACCTTTTGTCCTTCAGGAAAAATCTATCAGCCCATATGTGCAACAAATATTGTTTAAAACAAATGAATCCTGAAATAAAAAAAATTGTCTGTGTCAACAAGTACAGGAAAAATATTGATCTTACGAACTGATGCTCCCACACGGGCCACTTCTGCACAGCGCTCCACATCCTTCATGCTTGAGAGGCGAACACCAAGCTTTTTGGGCGGACGAGTCTCATTGTTGCTGTAGGCCAGAATTTGGGCAGGAGTGCCATACAACCTCTTGAGCCGGTCTCTGTAACCACAGGGATTAAATCTTTAATAATAACACAAACATTCTCACAGCATTTGTATTGATCATGACAAGATATAATATAATTTCAAAACGTATATGAATGGCAGCCAAGGCAAAATGTATAAGTTTTTTTTACCCCGACTCTTTGATGATGGTTCCTATTTCATCATCTGTCTGTCCCGCCGGTTTCCAGAAGGAGTCCATTGGCATCAAGTAAATGTTGCGGAGATTGTGTTCTGTAAGGCTGGACAGGAGCAGTCGCAGCCCTGGGATGGGGCTTGTGTGAGTGGACACGACTGTGAGTGTACTTGGCTTCCTCTCATTGATTAGGCTTGCAATAGCTCGTTTCCAAGAACTCAGGTCAGTCACAGTCCAATGTGTATCATTTGGCATGAGCTCATGTGATGGAGTTGTTGGTACCTGTCAACAGTTGAAAGAAGAACATTCATAATTCAAATTCTCCGTTAGTAAGTTGAACTAAAAGTTGTCTGTGTTCCACTAATATAATTTTTTAATGTGTATCTTTTTTTAAATAAGTAGCAATCATTTTAAAAAAGAAAACGAGAATTAGACATTAGAGAAAACCTAAAAAAATAACTATACAGACTCTCAAAATAATTTTGATAGGCAGCTTCTGCATCCCATCATTGAACATAGTTGACACATAAAACTAGAACTGCCCTTAAAATCTAATTTTCAAACTTAACTGATAGACTGGATCATAATCAGCTCCTTGGCTGAGGCACAAAAGACTTCAATGTGTCTATGCAACAACAGTATCAGAAATATTTTCAAGTAATAAACTTATTGTTTATACCAGAATATTTACAAAGTATTCAGAAATACCAATTATTTCAAATGAGACCCTTTACCAAACCCAAGTAGGTATTTCTTTGGCAGAGAAGCACAAATGGCAATTATTTTTTGTTTATATTCTTCAAAAAGTAATTGTTAGTTGGGCAAGATGAAAAACAAACAGAAAACATCCTATAAGAATATTTGCCGTTCACTTAATTATCAGAGTATTTCCATCCATGCACCTTGCTATTGATTGATAGCTCTCATTATATTATTGGCACATAGAATGGATACCTTAAGAGATTATTCACAATTCAATATAAGAGACTCTTCACTAACCAACAAATTGCATTTCTTGGTTGCAGAATCCAGCTTCTTTTTGATATCAGTGAACTTTAAATTTTCTTCATGTTCTGAATTAATGTGACACAGCATCTCCCTGCACTTGTTTTTTGCATTCTCATCACTGGAGTCCATGTTGCTCCAGGCCTGGAGATCTTCCTCCGTTGACTTGATCCGGGCATCTACAGAAACATTAAATCCCTCTATGTCAGTCTTCAGGTTAGTTATATCATTCATCAGCTTCAGGGTGCCATTTGCAACCAAGGCCATATCATTCAGTTTCTGAAGTTTGTTATTCAATGCAGCGTGTACTTTAGCTCTTGAGTCATCGTGATCATTTTCCTGGCACAGGTCATCCAACAATTTTGCTTTGTGTGTGGCATGGTTGTCAGTCAGGCATTTTGAACACATGGGTGCCATGCAATCCATGCACAGATATTCCATAACCTTTGCATGTTGGAGGCACAATTTCTTGGAGTCTGGAGATCGTTTACGTTTACATCCTTGGCTATTTGCTGCAATTATTGAGTAGTTAACTGGAATTTGTTTTGCTGGCTTGGAAATTTGCTTTCTACATTTGGGGCAATGTTTGTTTTCAGAATTTTTCATCAAGCTTGAAATGCAGGAAAAACAAAATGTGTGGCCACATTCCAGACAAAGTGGCTTGTGGGTCTTAGAGTCAAATTCTTCTGCACAAATTTCGCACACTAAAATTGCAGTGGCCATGTCTAATGAAGGCAAGATATAATTTCTCTGTATCAATTTACATTCAACTTGTTGTTTTTTTTTTAACAACTGAAGTTTATGGTATTAGTAATGACCTCCCATCCAACAACTGCCAAGTATTTATATACAAAATCTGTCACTAAGTACAGCATAATCTGAAAATAATATGCTATTAAGAAATAAATTGAAATGTATTATTGAATGAAAAACAGTATGTGTTTAAATATTACTACTTTTTATTAAAGACAACACTTCTAAAGAATCCAGTGTCATTGATGTTACACATGAACAATGAATTTCTAATTTTATTTTTAAATATTAAAAAATTAGTGTTAAAATTTACTTTGATATTTAAAATTTTTCTAAATTTTCAAAACTATTTATTCTGTCAAATTGTCAACTAATTCATACTTTGTCTCTGAGATTCTGACTTTATGCAAGTGTGCAAAATTTCAGATCGATTGGACAGGTATAAGTGTGTCATATATTGATTATAACTCATAAGATTTGTAACAGACAAATTTATTTTGAAATTTTTCCTAATATTAATTTTTTTTTAATTTATAAAACTATTTATTCTGTCAATTGATTCATGCATTCTCACCAACTTTACGCAAGTGTGCAAAATTTCAGATCGATTGGAGAGGTATCAGTGTGTTAAATATTGTTTGGTAATACAGTACTTTAGATTAAGTGCATCCAAAAAAAGGGTGTTTTTTTTTAATTATATGTTTTTGGGGTGTAGATAAAGAATCTGAAATCCGTTTTTGGCGGTCGGCATTGGAAAACTGATTTTTTTCCCCCGAGGCTCTAATTCTTAAAAAAAAATCGGGCAAAAATCGGCAAAATCGGCGAAAAAACCTAACCTAACCGTGGTTGCAATGTCGTGGTTGCCTGCAACGTCGTGGTTGCAAGAGTATACGGGTCACCGAGGCTAAGTTAAAAACGCTATAAATCCACGGATATTGGGGGCCAAGATTTGACTTGCATTTAATCTTAGAAAATATATAAAAATAGGCATATATAAAAATCGGTTTTCCGATGCCGACCGCCAAAAACGGATTTCAGATTCTTTATCTACACCCCAAAAAACATATAATTGAACAAAAAAAAAACACCCTTTTTTGGATGCACTTAATCTAAAGTAATACCTATTGTTTATAAGATTTGTAGCAGACAGACAAACAAACAACAAGGAGCAAAGTTAAAGAGAAGTGTTGTAATAAGGATGTTACACACGCATATAGTCATATACGTACTACTTGAATTAAAGAGTAATTAGAATATATGGAATTTTATTAGAAATGTAATGGTTACTAGGTAACATTACTAAAATATGGCCACCACATTGGCAGGCTACTTCATATTCTATTTCAATATATCTATGAACTTTAAGGTAAATGGAATTATGGAGGTGCTGAGGACATACCTACATTAGACATATATATCAGAGAATAAAACAAGAAAAATCAACAGTGAACTTGAGTGAAGTCAATAATATGAAAACTAGACTCAGAAAAGTATCTAAAATGGTCTCAACTCTCAAACTCAAAGCAGCAATTTCATCTCAAGATCAATTAATTAAACTAGCTCCTTGACAGTTGACACCAGGATTGGAATTTTCCTACTTGTTTCCAAAATCTCACGGCTCAAATGTGAATTTTTAATATATTTGGAATCTCACAGCCTGATTGGCAATCATCAGGATTATGCATTCTTGTTAACAATTGGATAGGAGGTAATTCATCTGGTGGAAATCTTGCAGTTCCAGAAATGACGGGAAAACTCTAGTTGCGACCCAAAAGGTAGATGTTTTCCACGCTTGCCTGACACCCTTGTCCCTTGACAATAACATCAAACGGTTCAAACCCTGGACTATGAGTGGGCTATACTAAGCAATGGCAAATGCAAAAAAGTGGAAGTTCTCCTACTAGACCAAGTCACCCTTAAATCCCATGCATGCAAACTGCAAAGTCCCATGTTATTTACAAAGTCCCATACAAAAAACAGTGACTAGCATTAAGCATTTGTCTTTAGCGGGCAACCGGGCAACTGTACAATACAAGTGAAGTGATAATGCAGTACTATGACCATTCTGACGTAACCACAACTACACAATCTAGAGGACATGTTTTGAGTTGACTCGTTGTTACGTTCTGCATATTATTTCGATGGGAGCATTGAAGTATACAAACAGTGGATTGTGGAAGTTGAAAATTTTATTAAACAACAGGGTAAACGCGGTATATTCCGACATCGTAGGTAATTCCGTCACTTCTCTAGTTTTTCCTTTATATTAAGCTTTGTTTTAGTTCCATGCGTTCATTGATGGTTGAAATGGTGACGCATAGTGGCAAACCAGAGCTTTTTTTGGAATCAGTTCATTTTAATTTNAATGAGCTCCCCACGCAGACGTTGATAACTGAGGCTTGGAAGCTTCATGGTCTTTAATCTTTATTCATAGGACTTGCCCTTCATGCCTGGAATTATCCTTGTTGCACACCTTTTAACATTCTCTATTCAATTTTTGTCCTTTTCAAATCTCGGTGACCACACAACGTCTCCAAACTCTAAATTCAGGCGCACGACAGCAACAAGATGTGTATAAGAGACAGGTGAAGTGTTTTGAGAGTCACATGAAGGCAACAGAACTTACGTAACGCATACGTTTTTTTTTATAGTTTTTCATTTCTCGATGCGTCCTTAATGTGTCGGAATATACCACGTTTACCCCATGTGTGCAAAGTGCAAACTGCAATTTTTTCAATCAAACAAAAATTTATGACATTAGAGCCGCAACATTTCATACCTAATGAAATTATATGATATTAGAGCTGCAATATTTCAGAAAAAATAGGAATTTTCCAGCCCTGCCCTCACCATTCATGACACTGTCTCATTAGCTACCTTTCACCTGGAAGGCAAGTGAACCACACGACACGAGACAATCTCACAAACAGACAATCATTCGCATTGTGATTTGTGCAGAATGAATCCACCACCACCAGCATTGTCATCAACGACATCAAGCAGTGGCCTGGGCCCTGACATCAATTCACCAACTTCTTCTCCGGGCGTAAACGCTGGGTGGACTTAAAGCCACAGGACAACCGCAAGGCTGACCGTTGGGCCTGAGCCCTGAGAGTAATAAAAATTCACCAACGATGCTGAGTGCTGACCTTCTTGGCTCTCGACGCTTCGGAGTTCGGACTGTACGCCAACTATCTGTCGCCTGACTGCCGGATTTGTTTGAACTTTGAGATAGTTTTCAGCATGGTTGAATTAATACAAGGTTGACCCACGCGCAGCTGCTCTTTGCGGATGTCGTTTGTTGTTCCGACTGTGACGTCACCGTGGGCCCAAAATGTAAATACTGTCGCGAAAGACGTTGTTTTTGTGCCGATTTTGAGATCAATTTAAAAAAAATTGCCCCTGTCTCTTATACACATCTAGATGTGTATAAGAGACAGNAAACTAAAGCTAACTAACACTATTTGATAAAGTATTCGGACTTATTTCATTTAGTTGCAATCAATAGAAGCCTCATCAATAATTGTCATGATGTAAATGACTAATTGGCAGCTGATAGTGAGATACTTGAATCCTGGTAGCATTAACCGTAGACCTGTCTCTTATACACATCTCACTGTTTACATTTTTGGCCCACGTTGACGTCACACGAGACATGCGCAGAACGGCGAAAAAATCGTCGTCGCCGTGGGTCAACCTTGTATTAATTCAACCATGGTTTTCAGAGTTATTTTTCTGGTTTAAAATTTTACTGTAGTATACTATTTACGCATATAATTGTATATTATGTAATTATTTCAACCAAGTTTCCAATATTTAAGGCTTTTTTAAATTTGAAAATAATTTTTGTAATTGTTACATTCGAAATGTCGTTAGTAAACTAAAACTACATACTTCCTGATATATTCCTTTCGATCTACCAACGTCATCTGAAGAATTTTCCAACTATCTGATATATCAAATCAACGAATTCTCCGGTCATTATTCGCATATTTGTGTAATTTGGCAGAAGCTTTTTTTATGCATATTTGATTAGAGACCAGTTCATGTTTTTAATTAACTTAACATAACATAGTGATGTCGGCGCTGAAGAGTAGGCCTGATGTGGCCTGTCGCCGATTCTTGTACATTTCGTTCCCCTCAGGGGGGACTTCTGACGCGTGTCTGTGCTCGTCAGAAGTCCTATGGGATTTCGCGTTCCTAGGGGGATTGTTCCTGAGCGCCCCACCGTTNACATCTAGATGTGTATAAGAGACAGGCTACAATTCTGCTGTGCTTAACCGCCCGGCCTCCTCGCCGATTCTGACCAGAAACTGGCGCACAGAGCTGGGATCGAACCCGCGCCTCTCTGCGCCAATCCTGGTACTCTGAACTTTAACCACTGGGCCACCCTGCCCAGTTTATTTTGTCCGATTGCGTGAGTCATTCAATTATCCTCGGAATGGATAGACAGGAGTGTCATGTACGGAAACAGCTAAGCTAATTATACACTTTATTATTTATTTTTAATTTATCAATTTATTTGTTTCACTTGAAGCGTGCATGGGAAATTGATAATAACTTACGGTATTTCGGAGCACTGACGAACTTCAATGAATTTATTAATGACAAAGTAGACTTTAAGTTGGTAAATGACAAACAAGACTTCGTTCTTTTATTTTTATGTAGACAAGCAATGGGGGAGTCAAAGCTCGTGTGAACCAAGCCCGCGAACATGTCCATAAGCCTCGCCCTGAGCACACGAACATGTCCCTAAGCCTGGCCCTGAGCACACGAACATGTCCCTAAGCCTGGCCCTGAGCACGCGAACATATCCATAAGCCTCGCCCTAAGCCTCGCCCTAAGCATCGCCCTGAGCACGCGAACATGTCCATAAGCCTGGCCCTGAGCACGCGAACATGTCCCTAAGCACCACCCCTATTAATGAAGTTATGATTCATTAACAAATTTCATAAGTTACCATACGGGGAACATTACACACTCATGTTATATTCGCAAGTCAACATTATCATTGGAAATTATAATATGAACCTAATCTCAATGTTCGGGATTTAGCGAGAACAATGAAAGTAGTAATTAAAATATAAAACAAAGACGAGTGAAACGGTCTTACACATTTTTAATTATAATACATCATTAATGGCAGATAAAACATGCACAAACCTCCAAGAAACATGTACCGAAACGTTTCATTATAAATAAGAAATGAGCTTTATTAAATGGCTAGACCTTGCCATACCGTCCATCTTCCAGTCAACAGTACACCTAAGTGGGTCAATTTGACGCACTTCTATTGACTCACTTGAGCAGTTCGTACCTGACCCACTTGAGGGAGACACTCGGCTCAAGTGAGTCATGCGCTTCTGTTCCAGATGCTCGATATTCTTGTATAATATACAGCATACTTCAGCCTTCCGCTGTTTAGTATATAGTTTAATTCAGCCTTCTGCTGTATACTACACAGTTTAATTCAGCCTTCCGCTGTATACTATACAGTTTAATTCAGCATTTGATCACGCCATCATGCACACATAAAATGCCCCTGATACACCCGGAAAAATCAAGGTGTTGTTTTGTTCAATTAGTGACACACTTTCTACCCCCGCACGTATCACTGATACGCCCTTCTGCCGCTCCAAACTGGGTCAGGATGACCCACGTAAGGGAAAAAGTCCATCGTTATTTGGACAACGTATTTATTAACTTAAAATCAGAGTATCAATTAAACTTAAAATATTTTAATAAAAAATAATTAAACTGTAGAGGCGAAATATGTTCACATTTGACAGGGTTGGCACCACGGGAAGTGCTGAGCTTCTTCATTAAATCAATTAGTTCTATTTATGATAAATTAATTCGAATTATTTAATGCTCAAATAATTAGAATTAATTAATCATCAATTAATTAGAATCAATTAGCTTTATTTAATCATCAATAATTTAAAATTCATTATTCATCATTTAATTAGAATTAATAAATCATAAATTTATTAGAATTAATTAATTGTTAATAAATTGAATGTTCAAGCCAGACCAGTGAAAGGTGAATATGTGACCAGCGGCCGTCAGAAGCTGTACTTCAATAGAATTTCCATATTATTTAACTAATTCAACAATTAGTTCAGAAATAAATAAGTGGCATATTGTCTCAATTAGCGAAACATTTTGCCAGCAGCACGAGCACAAACCGACCATATTGCCGGGCAAAACTGGGTCAGGGTGACCCATACAGAGACAAATATGCTTCGATATTCGGACAAAGCCTCTCTTATTTCATTGAGTGAGTGTTCGGTTACATAGATAGCATGTCAATTATTTAAAATTAAATATTAATTAGAATTTCATTCTGTCCATTGTAAACTCTAAGCAAGATATAACATCTTATCTTGTTAACAACATCGATGTGCTACTTAGTCAAGTATTACATCTCATTAAGAAACAGTCCAGCTCTACTTAAATCAAGTCTCGCCCTACTTAAGCAAGTCTCATTCCACTTAGATCGACTCTTATATTAATTCCTACTTACATAAGTCATAGCTACTTAGTGTCTAGCTGCCCTAAGTTGCTGAGCGGCACACTTAACTACCCACTCATTAACTACAAGATCATCTCATTAACTAGACAATATCCTCATTAACAATATAATCATCTCATTAAGTACAACATGTTCTGTGAACCTCATTACCATTTAGGTATAAAAAGTTAGCAACCGCGCGCGTTAAGCTCATCACCGACGCCATATCATCGGCTTGGTTTCATTCATTAAAACAAACGTTCCGTTCGTTGACACAAACGTTCCGCCCGTTAAAACAAACGTTCCGTTCGTTGAAACAAACGTTCCGTCCGTTGAAACAAACGTTCCGTCCATTGAAACAAACGTTCCGTCCGTTGAAACAAACGTTCCGTCCGTTGAAACAAACGTTCCGTCCGTTGAAACGAACGTTCTGTCCATTGAAACAAACGTTTCATACATAAAAATAAACGTTCCGTCCATTGAAACAAACGTTCTGTCCATTGAAACAAACGTTTCATCCCTTGACACAAACGTTACGTCCCTTGACGCAAACTTTCTGTCCTATGATACAAACGTTCCATTCCTCGACACAAACGTTCCGTCACTTGATACAAACGTTCCGGCCGTCATAAAAAAACGTTCAGTTCCTGTTCTCACGTGTAGGCGTTTTCGCGCCCCCGTCTCAACGTTGCATAGAAAACAAGTGAATTTCCCCTCAGCCCCGCAGCATGGGGAACCATCCCCCCTCCCTCCCTCTCCCCCATGAACGATCGGGGGTGTACATCCCCGATGGAGCGGGGGCGGTGGGGGTGCCTTTGCCCCATCCCAGTGATAGGATGATAGGTTCCCGTAACGCTGGATTCTAATTTTTATTTTCTTGTTAGAATCATCGCGTTCATCATAAATATGATTAATTTTCTTCACTATTAGTGAGTTATTCATCACTATTTGTGAATTTTCATCGCTCTTCGTGAATTTTTCATCACTATTTGCAAACTTTTTTCCACAAATGTAAATTTTTCTTCACTATTTTGAGTTATTCATCACTATTTGTGAACTTTTAATCACTATTTGCAAACTTTTCGTCACAAATGTAAATTTTTCTTCAGTATTTGCGAATTTTTCATCACTAGTATGAATTTGTCATTCTTATTTGTGAACTTTTCGTCACAACTGTAAATTTTTCTTCAATTTTCGCGAATTTTTCATCACTATTTGTGAACTTTTCGTCGCTAATACGAATTTGTCTTCACTATTTAGCAGGCAGGATGAGCATGGTGACGGCCCCCTTGGCCTCCTTGAGTATGGTGACGGCGCTGGCGTGACTGGTCCCCCTGAGGCTCGTCCCGTTCACCATGAGCAGCTGGTCCCCCCGACGCAGCGTCCCCTCCCGGGCCGCCGACCCCCTCTCGAACACACTCTTCACGTAGATGGGCAGGTCCCCTAAGTTGGACCCGAACCCCCCCACGATACTGAACCCCAGCCCGTCATCCCCACGCTCCAGGACGATCTCCTTCACCCCCGGGGGATGCTGGGGGGACACCAGGGGGAGTTGTTGGGCGGGGAGGGATGCTGGTGGTGTGGGGTTGATCCACCATCACCGGCCACGACCTGTGAAAAAATATTTTGTCAATTGCAAGCAATAGAAAAATTATTTCAAAAATTTAATAAGCGTCAAAATTGCAGCGATTGTTTAGACATTGAAGATCTAAGTTCAAAGTTTTTATATTGACTTCGAAGTTTCATGCTTGATAAGTTGAAAGCATTAGGACACAGTTAAAGTTTAACGCCCCTAGGCTGACATGAAACTACGTATTCCCCAAAGTTCGGTAATCCAAACTTTCTTTGGATTTTTATCCTTTATTAGGTAAATCCAAAAAAAAAAAAAAAATTCACCAGAGGACCTCATCTGGAGTTTTAGTGACCAATAACCGTTATAATACACTACAGAAATTAATGGGTTAAATTGTCTAAATACTGACCCAGTTTCTTACCAACAACACGAGCACAGAGTGGACGTAGCACTAATACGTCCTTTTACCGGGCCAAACTGTGTCAGGATGACTCACACATGGCAAGAAGTACGTCACTATTTGTCCTAATTCTCACTCATTTAAACGAGTGTACCCCACAACCTCTTTGATTCACACTCCAGTCCATTACCCCTGTCCCCTGCCCCTTATAACCTCGGGTGGGTCAAGTTAACCCACTAAGTTCCTGCTATTCTTACTCAGCACACTGTACACTCAAAAAATATAACTCAGTACTCACTGCAGTGAGTGACAGAGAGCGCATTTTCTCGTCGACGAAAACATGAAGTCACAGACAGACAGACAGACGGACAGACAGACAGACAGACGGACGGACGGACGGATGGACAGACAGACAGACGGACGGACGGATGGACGGACATGGCGAGCACAATAGTGCATTTTTTCCATAAATGAGAAAATGCGCTAAAAATAAGTGTGACTTTGAAAAAGTGAACACAGCAACTTTTGCCACCACGCTGCCATTAATATTGTGGGTCATCCTGACGCAGTTTAGCCCGTTAAAAGTGCATATCAGTGCTACGTCCGCTCTGTACTCGCGATGTTGGTACAAAATTGTGTCAATATTTAGATAATTTGACCCAATAATTTTGCTGGGGGATGGGATTCAATAATAGCCCCATGAGGCGGGGCTGGCTGGATCCCCAGCCCACGGGGCACAAGCTGGACCTCACCTGGACCTCCTAGCTGCTGCATGCGGGGTGAGAAAATACTTCAGTTATACATTCAATAAATTATTATTGTATTATTAATAAGTCTTGACATGAATTATAAATAAAACATACAAGTTATGACATTGTACAAGTCAAGACAGTGTACAAGTCAAGACAGTGTACAAGTTAAGACATTGTACAAGTCAAGACAGTGTACAAGTCAAGACAGTGTACAAGTTAAGACAGCGTACAAGTCAAGACAGCATACAAGTCAAGACAGTGTACAAGTCAAGACAGTGTACAAGTCAAGACAGTGTACAAGTCAAGACAGT